GGTATAGTGTAAAGGGCAGGTACCTTTGTAAATTGGCTCGACACTTCTATCTCGCCATCCCATGAGCGGAAGGAGTGCCCACACAATGCAGTAAGACCAAACAAGTGCGATAACAATCAAAGATCTTCGTTGGGTTATAAATTGCGAGCGTCGAAATCGACCAAGTGGATCCTTGAGGGTCTTATAGCGATCCACGCTAATTGCCAGAAGGGTAAAGATCGATGTCGGTATAGTGATGAGGTAAGCCGTTCGAGAGATAATACATATCGTTTTGCCATGTTTCCACTTTCTGACCAGAAAAAATAATTCAATGTCAAATGGCACGGCAAGAGTTACGGTGAGAAGATCCGAGATTGCCAAAGACAGGAGAAGGAGGTTTGTGGGGTTATTTCGGAGATTTCTGTTGGCAAGGATAGCGTAAGAGACCATCAGGTTGCCAATGATGGCTACCACCACGATGACAATATACAGAGAAGCGACTGAGTAAATGAAGAACGGGGAGTCACCGAATAAAGGTTCTTGAGTTCGTAGACCGCTGGAGTTGTGATCAGAAGAGTTGTTCATCCTGAGTAATGTTAAGCGTTTCCGCGGCCTCTGCAACTGTTATTGAACCTTCAAAGGGAGCCAACGATTGAGGGTGCGTAGATGAAAATCTCCAGAAACTGAACTTTGGTGTGGTGTTCGCTAAAGCGAATGAGTGTTGCAGTACCAAAACAATCCTTTTACGCATGCATTCGACAGCATTCACTTGACGAAGAGACAAATATCTGTTATATTACCCTAGGAGTCTTAGTGGATTTGATTAATTATTTTAAAAGAGGTCAGCGTCTTAATATTGACAAATATCTCCGGCATATTTTGAGTTACTACTGTTTCCTGCAATTGAAACTCAATATTTCTTTAAGATATAGTGTTTGGCGATTTAATTTTATCATCACAACCGCTGGGTGTTTAGAAATAGAACTTCAGGAATCTTGGACAAATACGGATTTTTGAGGAAAAAATTCTAATTGATTAATCGTAGTTTTTAAGAGGTCTGACAAGATAACGGCCACACACGATTTATGATATTTTCTGTTAAAATTTACTAAGTTACTAAAAGCATTTAGAACATAGCTAGTAAATTTGTCTAATCAAATTCAATTGCGTGAGCGTGCTTCATATTCCTATTGTGCAAGCTCATGACGTCAGCAAACAAATCCCTTTGAGAAAAAAAGTTTTGAAAATGTTATAAAACAATTGGTTCATACGTCAGCTGCGCGTTCAGCGATATATGAAGCACGCGGGAAGTTTGGCATCTTTCGTGTTCTCCAAACTTCCCGCGTGCTTCATATCTCGATGAACGAACGCTGACATATGAACCAATTGTTAATTCGTAAACCTTGTCTACGGGAAACTGAAACTGAATATTTTACCAACGGCCTTCATGTATGATACGGGTTCTGATTTTGGTGACTAGCGTCATTGCACAGACAAGATGAAGTGATATCTTTAAAACCCAATCTTGAATACAAAGCGAATTATTGAGTAAAGGGTCAAGTGAGAGTACAAAC